CCTGAAGGCTGAGACTAGTTTAACCTGCTTTGCATTCGCCTGTTGCTGTTTGAGTTTCCGAATCTTGTTGATAATCTGCGGTTTTTGTCCATCACATCGCTGATACCGTCGTCCTGTCTGTATGCGGTTAATTACACTCATGTATCCACATTTCTCTGCAGTTGTTTTGCTACTTCATGAAAATAATTCTTCTTCTCTTTTAGCTATTTTCGTCTTTAGTTTTAGAAACTACTGGAATCGTGTGAATCCCCCTCGTTTTCCAGAGTAAAGAAGTTGAAGGCCGTTTGGTGACTCTGGGCTCGTAGCTAGTCTTGTAGGATGAAAAATTACAGCCAATTTGCACACTGCTTATGTAACATAGTAGAGTACTGGACCTAGTTACACCTGTGTTTGACAAGGTCAGTTCATCTACACGAGCAAGCGCAGAAGAGCGGATAAATTTGAGAAATTCAGTCTTTGCGAGTGTACGGTGTGTGGCTTCTTTTTTTTCTAACTTGGTAGTCAAATGATAGATTTCCCGTGCAGTCACTCGACAGTGACACTTTTACCATATAGGGACTGAGCTCAGAGGACGGGGCAGAGGGTAAAGGGAAACAAGTTCAACATGCAAAAGTCAAGCATGCGATTTTTTTTGTCCCCTTGAAAGGTCTGCTGCCTCGTGGAACCGGTGTTCTTCTTCTTCTGCTGCTTTTTCACAAGGTTAAATTTTACAGTGAAACCGGCACGCAGAAGTCGCCACATAAAAGACTCAGCAGCATCCTGATTCTCTCAGAATGAATCGAGAGCTGCTGCACAGACCAGAATGTACCGAAATGAGGAAGCTGATTGTAATTGCAATGAGACACGATTCTTCATAAACGTGTAGGTATATTAGCCTGGTGTTAACGCAAATACTCACATAAGTGACATTTTTGCCAAGGTGTCATTTCTCTCACAGCTCTGAGCTGGCACATTGTGGTCCGTGCACACACGCACAGGAAGCTGTCAGAAACAAACCAAAATCTCATTCAAATGCTTTGGATGCAAAGCAATCAAGAAGACTGTTTGCACGGCAAACACACAGTTCCCTTTTGTGTTTAAACCTCAACAGAAAACCTCTTCAGGTGACGACTGTTTCCTGCTTGTATGAATGAAAACTTCATGGGAGCGCTGTAACTTCTGCACAAAGTACAAGCGAATCCAACAAGCGCAGAACAGCAGATAAAGTTGAGAATTTCAGTCTTTGCGAGTGTACAGTGTGTGGCTTCTTTTTTTCTAACTTGGTAGTCAAATGATAGATTTTCCGTGCAGTCACTCGACAGTGACGCTTTTACCATATAGGGACTGAGCTCAGAGGACGGGGTAGAGGGTAAAGGGAAAAGAAAAGAAGAACTAATGAGGCTCACTTCTCAAGTCTGAGCTTGCTGACAGCTGAATCAGTACAGATGAGTGAACACGCAGGCTGCCAGAGATAGCGATCAAGCCATGTTTTTCTTTTTTTTATCAGAATGTGTGCAAATACATGAACTGTGTGTTTCGCTGGTTCTGTTCGTACCTGCTTGAGGTATGAGGCGGATGAAGTATGACAAATGAGGAAACAAAACAGAAAATAAAAAGAGCCAAGATTATAAATTGTAATTGGTGTGGTTGTACCTGCAGCTCAGAGTTCACTGAAATCGCTCTTCATGTTTTAACTCCGAGCTCAGAGTGACCTGATCCAGCTGTAACTATTGGCTTTATTAAAAAGGAAAGCTGTAATCTTCAAATTGTAATGAGTCAGTGGATCAACGACCCTCTTAAGGGACAACTCCCACTAGGGTTTAAATACCAGGGACTCTCCACCATTTGGTCTAAGAACCGAAGAAGCTTCTCGGGTGAAAAGTGAAACATTTCTTCAAGAAACTTAAAGAAGTCCAGCTCCTTAGATCCAATCTTCAAAGTACAGAAACGGGGAGCTGGTTCCAAAGTAGAGGGCCGGCCTCCTAGTCTACTTTTAGACCCAACAGCAGCTTGTGGGGGACAACAACAGTCATTTTGGGGAAAATGAAAACTTCTGTCAACATATGAAAACGAAACTGTTAAAAAATAAAAGGCCACTGCTATCACACCCATCCTTCAGCCCAGTGAGGCCTGCTCTGTCTAGTGTCCCTCTTTGGCAGGATTGATTTGGTACGAACCACTAACAGCCACGAGTTTACAGAGAAAGTGTACAGACTTGTTTGATACTCAGTTCAGGAGAAATGAGAAGTGCGAGCCATAAACTGCGACTTTATGTTCAGCTTGTTTCCTTAAACTACAACACATTCTCATCCCACGGCGTAACATCCCCTCGCATGTGATAAATGGTTGGGCGTTGGGAATAAGAATGCTCTGTAAAGTCTGACGCAGACTGAGACTTCCTGACTTAAACAGGTCGTACTGAAACAAATGAGTACATGAAGTGATTTTGTTTAAGCAAATCACTTTTTCTTTTTCTTTTTTTTAAAATTAAATGCGTCATTGTTTGTATTATCCTTTCATGACCCAGGCCTACAATGTCCCCTGATCCTGCATCACATTAAATGTCTGTATATTATATTTAATATATTTCTATAAGAATCAATCACAAAAACACTTTTAGGTCCAAGAAGATATTTCTGAAAACTTTCCAAAAGACAGTTATTCCTGCAGCTTTTCTGTCTGTGTTTGTGCTTCTGTTATGCATATAAGAGTACATATATGCGTACATGAGCATGCATATAAGAGTACACAATCTTTACGGCCTTTGCACAGTTTAAGGTAGTATTTCTCTTTGCAGATTGCTGCCTTAAATAGCTGCTGTATAAATTCTAAACAAGGCTTGGACTTTGCCACTGTTCCCTTTATTAGAGGATTATTTAGAGAACTCTGTCTGCACTGTTGTGTTGAAACACAATAAAGAATGACGCAATACACATGTTGTAAGCCCTACTTGATCAATCAGCTGCAGCTACAGGAGGTATAATACAGTTTTTGGTTTCCCCTGTAGAAACATGGATCATGTCGTCCAAAGATTCTTTGAATTTATAATTAATACTTATATGTTTATTTGTAAGAGTCTTCCTGACTGAAGTTCACCTCAAAATCAAACTTCTCTTTCCAAACATCATGACTGTAAAAAGATCCACAGACCCCGTTAACTCTGAAGTACAAACTGTTTTCTTTCTGCTGAACTGCACCCGCCTAGAAAGAAGCTCGCCCTCATAGACATTACACAAGTAGGCGTCTCCCTCGGCTGAGCTGTAATGTGAGCTTGTTACATGCTTCCTTTGATTGGTCGATGTAGAGACTAGAAAGCAAATACTTCCTACTTGAAACTGCTCACACCAAGGGTTTTGGATTTTTTTTCCTGTTCTTGAGAAACCCAGACACAGTTTCTGGAGAAAGACTCGCTGCTGACTTTTCCCAAATGTGTTTTTGCAACTTTAAACACTTTATGGCAGGTGCCGTTAAGTTCCACTACAGTCAACAGAAGTTCACACTGTGAATGTGTGTGGGTAGGTCTTTACTATGAAGTAGAGCAATGCAGAATCAAGCAGACATGAGAGCAAACTTGCAGAAAGACTAAAAATCTGGAAGGTGTGGTTCTAGGACTAAGCAAAAGCCTGGAGGCAGTGAGGTTCAAATTCAGATGGAGGCAGGTGGAGGTCCACCAGAAAATGTGCCTAAGAACCACTTTAATTCATTTTGCTGAGCTTCAGAAGAGTGATGATAACTCCATTTAGTATTCGTGCTACCAAAACTTCACTGAGTCATTCAGGTTTATGACCCAGTTATCTGTGGCTTTATTGCAGTGGATGCACTCCGGGGTGGGTCTTCTAACTCTCAGGTTCTTCTTATACTGCACTCTCTGCTTTGCCACCATATCCTGTTTATGTGACGCAAGCAGATGGCAATGCGTCACCTTCATATTCAAAAGCCCTCATTACAATGCGACACATCCAACTCCGAGCACTCACACAGCAAATCTTATGCCCTTAAAAGGCATTTTTCCAACTGCCTGCTGTTTCTGCAGAGGACCTTCCCGTCTGTCTTTAGTTACTCTCGTGGCCCCTCTACTGGCGAAAGAGGGGACGGGAGCATGAAAACAATACAAGCTCTTTATGAGGGCTGTACTGTGTATGAGTCACACATTCAGGTTTGAGACAAAAGTACGAAAACTGGACAATAAATTACTATTTGTTTCAGTTTTTCAGGAAGAGGGAAACTACAGAAACTGCAGAATGAGTTTTCTTTTTTTTAAAAATATATCCTTGAGGCCTTTGTATCATTTTCTTTGTGGGTATTTTGAGAGTTTAGAGTCTCTTTGTAGTTGTTTTTCTTCTTCCTGTGGTTCTTTTTTGTCTTTATGGAATTGATTATCGATTTTAATAGTTGTTTTGTGTCTTCTCATCGAGCTGTGTTACTTCATGTATATTCTAAAAACCAGGAGCCCTCTGATGTGATGGGCCCCAGGATCTGTGTTCTGTAATACATTCATGTAGGAGTGTGCTGAAAGAAATGAGATATGATGCAAGCCGATTTATGTGGTATTACAAAGTCTTTCCTTTCATTTGATAAAGTCACATTCACAGTAATCTCCTGCCTATGAAATTATGACGTTTTTTCAAGGATAAATATGGCCTTCATGGGATATTTTTTAAAAACTCCACACATGGTTTTTCATAACGCTACAAATTTTACACTTTATCACTTCATATGCACATATGACAAATGCCTGCTAAAAATAAATGTTTCAATATTATCATACCATGTCACTTTATGTAAATATTAAAAAATGATGTACGTCGTACAAATTGCTCGAATAGTATTTATAGTATACCATTTATTTTTGAGTATATAGTATTATCTATCTGATAATCATGTTCAGAAATATTGTATGAATACAACTGGTATTCCGGTATTTCAGTATTGTACCTGAGACGCTTTGAACGCGCCCAGGCTGCTCACGCGCATTGTTTCCGCCCCCTCCCTGAAGCGCGTGGACATTTCGTTCTTTCATTGGCTGTTGCTCCTGCAAGACCCGGAAGTGTTGCTGTCACAGGATGGAAAGCTTTTAGCAGCTGTTTCATTCAAAGGTTTGCGCCTCACGGACACATTTACTGTTATTGTCGGAGACCGCGGTGCATAAAATCTGTCTTCGCTAATCAAACACGACGTTTTCGGCGAAGGATAATCATGAAGCAGTGCTGGGCTCTGTTACTTTAACCCCAGCATTCATCCAGGTGTCAGCTAACCGCTGATGAAAAGTAGCCTGGCTAGCTTCGTTTTAAACGCTCTTAAATCACCTCTGTGTGTATCTTTAGAATAGCCAAGGACGCCTCTAATCATCGGGTGGAAAAACTTTCCTGTCAATGCAATGATAAAGAGTAATTTTGTCCTCCTTCCCGGGTGCACCTGCGATTCCTGAGTCCAAACAAAGATGGCCGCGTCCACAGAAAGAAGTTAAAACTGTCGCAGGTTACTCGGTGAAGCTGCTGTTTTTTATTCTCGGATGGTTGGATGAGTTTTTCGGGAATCTCGAAACGCCTTCAGAAAGACAAAGATTTTAAACGTGTTTTCAGGCATCAGCAGCTGATTAAGACAGAAAGAAAACACATGTAGGTCCATATCCGTCCATGTGTGCTGGACTACATTATAAAAACTAGCGTTTCTGCTGTTGTGTCCTTTCCATTCATATTAATCGGAGGGGCATAATATACAGGCCACTATGGAGTCACCACTAAATGATAAAGCTTAATCAGCACTGGGAGTGCAACGTATTCACTGAGCCAGTTAGTGAGCCCACAGTGGCGCTTTCACATCTGCCTAACCAGGAGAGATCTCAGGAGACGCTGCTGTAGTGAAGCAGCTGAACATAATGTTTTATTAATCAGACAATTAAGTTCATCATAAAGCATCTAAATGCTGCTGCTCATTGTGTCCCAAAGCCCTGCAAACCGGGTCCAGAAATGCCTGTCACATGTGTCGATGTTCACCGTTCAGAGGCTGGGTTAGAAAGAACTAGGAACTTGCCCAGTCCCCTCCCACCTAACTTGGTAGTCTGCCCCCTTTTATGATGCCTCTGAAGACTGAGCCCATAAATTCTTCAGAAAGTGTTTAATCAGGTGGCTTCATAAGGGAGCAGAGTATGATTTTCCCTTAGACTTCTGTGCAACCAGAAGTCTTTTTGCAACCATGGGAGTCGCCCCTGCCGCCTTTACAGGTGCACATTGGCTTCACTATTTAGGCTTAGCTACATTTTTGTCTTTGGTATAATATGTATTCTTCTTAATTTCTAAACTTGATTAATTTGCTCGGCTCACAGGAGGTTTTAAAAATTTATCATCGAATTCTTTTCATTTTAGCTTCTTTAACCGAGCCCATAAACTCATCACCTGGTTTCGCTTCTTTGACTTTTAGCCCTGTGACTGCCTGGCGACCTGTCAGGGTGTACCCCGCCTCTCGCCCAGTGGTTTAAAAAATAGCCGTTGCTCCTCTTTTCATTGATATCGATTTATCTTTAGGTGGGTTCAAATGTAATATTGCTTTGCTTTTCTTTGAATTGGATTCGATTGCCTGGCAGTACATACACACAATGATGATTTCCATTCTGCTGCACTTTGTGTGTGACTGCAGAACATCATGGGTAACGCTGAGAGTGTGGTGGTGCAGAAGCGGCTGGCCCGTTTCCGTCCCGAGGAGCGACCCGTGGTTGAGGGGGTTTTTGACAAGCTCCAGGGTGGTGCTGGGGGCGCCGCAGGGAAGACCATAACGCTGGAGATGCTGCAGGTGTGACTGTGGAAGCAGTACTAAATGTTTTCAAAATAAGACTTAAAAGTGTGTCAGCAGATGGAACAGGTAAAAGCCTGAATAATAGTTTCTATGTAACATCACGACTTCATTACATCAGGTTTCACATGTTTTAAGAAGTCCAGTTTTCCATTTGTACATCTTTAAACTTTTCCTATCAGGCAGGATTTGTTTTTGTGTCTATGATGCTTTGACTACTTGGTGTAGAGGTGCTTTCTGTCACTGGGTTTCTTTAAACATTTTGTTTCTCCCAGTCATCAGTGGGCAGAGTGGCACCGGGCTCGATGGTGAGGAGGGTCTACCGGTGCATGTCCAGCATCGACCCTGGACTGGCAGCTCCAGCAGCCACGGGGAAGGCCGGATACGCCGGCCCCTCTGGAGTCAGCCGAGAGCAGTTGATCGTCTTCCTTGCAGACACTCTGCGGGGAACTGCAGAAGAACGTGCCCCCCTCGTCATGGCCATGTCCCAGCATGCGGCAGGGGCGGCAGCGGTTGTCACATGTGAGCAGGTAGTGGAGGTGAGTAGAGTGTAGTGTTGGTTTCTGCAGCATTTGTTGTCTGTGCTTCTTACAGCACTCCTGCTCTTTCACTAAAGTTCCTCCAGGACCTGGTCTCTGCTGTAGTTCAGATTTTGGTCCACAGAGGACGCCTGCAGGGCTGGAAGCCAGAGAGGATGGGTGACATCTCCCTGGGTGTAAAACTCCTGGCAGAGCAGATGTGCTCTGAGCTCAAACCATCAGGTAGAGCTGATTTGGAAGTTCTTGAATATTTTAGAAACTCTGACTTCTACTTCTCTGACTTAATCTACTTTAAATCTACTACTTCCCCTTTTCTCATTAGATGAGGGGGATTGTGATGTTTCCTGTCTGGAAGACTGGATCTTCAGGGTACAGCAGGTATCACAGTACCTGGAGCTGCTGGTAGCTGAGGGACTGAGTGTGTCTTTGAGCAACCGGCCAGCCCCGACGCTGCTGCCCCCCTGCAGGGAGACGCCTTGGAATGAACTGAAGTGTCTACTGGACATCCCCAGCCTCATGTTTCTGGCTCCACAGGTCAGTATATACCAGCATATTTTTTGCTTTTTTATGGAGACAAAAAAACCCAAAAAACTTTCAGACACCCTGAAACATTTTGGTGTTACACTTCTGTTTAATGAGAACTTAGTTGTGTTACTGCAGTGTAAACAGCAAACATATAAACTGTATTCAGGTGCTCTAGATTTTAGAAACGCAGCGATCCAGCCGATTCTAGTTCCAACATGAGACCTACACCTTGACATCAGTTATCTGGTGCTGCTTCAGATGTCTCATACCTGTGTGACATTAATAAGCTGTTTCTCGGTGTGAAGACAACAAATCTTTCCTTTATTTGAATAGAATAGAATAGAATAGAATAGAATAGCCTTTTATTGTACATGTATGTACACAGTAGACATAAGTTCAAGTTTGGCTAAAACGAAGTCTGTAATCTGTCTTCAGTTCCAAAGTCTACTTGTAGTAGTCTAATAGCTTCTGTGCACTATGCTGCATTCAAGACCCCAGTGTTGGTCAAGTTACTTGAAAAAAGTAATCAGTAACTAATTACTGATCCCCCAAAAAGTAATCCCGTTACTTTACTGATTACTTATTTTCAAAAGTTAATTACTAGTTACTTAGTTACTTTTTAAAAACACGATTTACAACCTGAAGAGGTGATAAAGCGATAGATCTTTCAGCCCAATTCTACTTTTTCTGCATAATCCATCATACAAAATGTAATCAAATGGAAAAGTCTCTTTTTAAAACTTGTTTTATTAGTTTTAATCTTTTAACTTTATGCATCAAGCAAAATTTAATTATACTGCAACATTCTCTGACTGGAAGAAATTAGTTTAACATTTAAACCTATTTTCTGCACATTCCAGCACATAAAATAAAATATTTTTTGTGTTATCGTCTTTCAATAACAGTAAAACACAGCAGAAAATAAATAAAGTCAACAGACTCAGCGGTCCTGTTGCTCTATTTTCACCTGTAAAGCAGGAGTGGGGCAGGCGGAGGTTTACCCTGGTGCAGGTGTGCCGCGGTCAGTGGAAGAATCCGCGAGTTTCTCTGTGAGTTTCCCATTACGTCGTAGCTACTCGGTGCTTGTTCGGAAGTTTAGGGTTTTTTTCGCTGTAAAAAGAAGTTTTCTTCCCACGCACAGCGGACACTAATGTTTTTGTCACTTTTTATGGAATCAAACTCAAAGTAAGGTCAGTACTTCCACGCTTTAAACGCTGCACGCTCATACTCTCTCTGCACTCGATATTGATCCATTGTTGATCTGCACACAGCTGTTGTCACGAACGTCGCACTCGCTTACATCATTGTGAGGAGACACTCTCGCAAAAAATCACGGTTTTAGTAACGCAGTAACGCAGTGTAATCCCTTACTTTACTCGTTACTTGAAAAAAGTAATCAGATTACAGTAACGCATTACTGCCCATCTCTGGTGCCAAGTAAGAGCAACACCAAGACATTATTCTCTCATTTTAGGATTTTTGTCATCCTAAATCAGCAAACTCATATCAAATGTAGCCCAAGTCAAATTAACGTTCACAAGGCTCCAACTATCCAAAGATGTTTCTCCAAACTTTCATTTTTCTCAAGTTGCTTTTGTCAGTTGGATAATTAACTCTTGAAACTTTGCTGACTTGAATAACACAGGTCTGCAACCAAAAAAACAGAGCAAAGGCTCGAGCGAACTGTGAAACTAAACACTCATTAATGGCCAATCTTTACCTGGTTAATCCTCTCGTCTTAATTCAGTTCAATTCAATTTTATTTACACAGCACCAAATCACAACAACAGTCACCTCAAGGCTGCTTTATATTGTAAAGTAGACCCTCAATAATACAGAGAAAAACCCAACAATCATGTGACCCCCTATGAGCAGCACTTTGGCGACAGTGGGAAGGAAAAACTCCCTTTTAACAGGAAGAAACCTCCAGCAGAACCAGGCTCAGGGAGGGGCGGGGCCATCTGCCATTTGGGTCGATTTCTTTATCAGTCTCCTCTTAGACGAGACTGATAAAAAAAGTTACAAAATGTTATTGTTAGTGTGTCATGACAGCTTTTAGAGATCGAATCGGATCGCTGTTTTTGCCATAGACTTCCGTTAAGGTTTTGCAGTCACATGACCGCTAATCATGTAACGTTAACTTGCCTGTTTGCATCTAAGACGCTGTAAGGTCAAGTCACGCAGGGCTTGAGACCGAGCCACCGACCAGGAGCGAGTGTTTGCAGACATGCTGGCATCTTCCATATTTTGCTGTAATGTTGTTCTTCATGTTAGTAAAACGGGAAAAACATTCAAGTAGTAAGTTTAGAGACCAAGACAAGCAAATAGCTCTGACATTTGGCTTCTTCCTTTTTACTCTCTTAAGTCTTTTACAAGCTGTTTTCTGTTGATTGGAGAAGGAATTACTTGATTAAATATTGCAACTCTAATATGAGTCTCTGGTATATTTATGAAAGCTCGGGGTGCTTTCATGTTCAAACAAGGAAAAGCCTTCTTTTAAAACAGAAAGTAGCCGCCTACATAGTGTTCCTTGTAATTAACCAGAATCTGTAATCAGAATCAATGAATCGACTAACTATTGCAACACATTTATCACCACCAGTCTATCAGAATTTGCTCAGATGTCTTGTATTGTTTCACTGCTTTTACTGATATTGATCACAGGTAAACATGTAGCTTTAACACTTACGACCCATATGGAAAAGATATATATAAATCTTATAAAGTTTGTATCCGTCTTGTATAAAACTTGTATGAAAAGCATACAAGAGTGAAAACAGATATAAGATCCCTTGAAAAATTGTATAAATGAAACTTGTATGTTTTGGATACTTACTAAAACAATATATGAACGCTTTCATGAGTAAATCATAGAAGCCTTCTATGATTCACTATATGAAGTAGGCCACATCTGAGTCTTTTCCATATGGGAGGTTCAAACAGAGATCGATGCAGGTGAAAGAGGCCTGTGTGCAGAGGCAAAATGACAAAAGGTGCATCACTGTCCAAATATTTACAATAAAAGATGTACTCGCTGAATGTGTGTGTGTGTGTGTGTGTGTGTGTGTGTTCTTCTAAACATGGCCGTGCAGAATGGAGAGATTGTGGCTTGCAGCTTTCTCAAGAACTGCTCGCCTGCTCACGAGCGAGCGATTGAAGTAGTTTGTCACAGGAAACCAAAGACAAAAGCAAGTGTGTGAACCTGTCCGGCTGTGTCTCTGAGAACTTGTTTGAGCTTCAGACAATCAAAGATATGAAATGTTGTAAAAGAAATTCGATCAACTCTCATGTTCGCACGCCTTCTGAAGGGCCTGTTTGAGGGCTAAGACTTGGTTTTAACTTCTAGGTAGAGTTCATTTTAGGTTAGGGAGAGGCTGGGAGTGCATTAATTTAAATGAATGTGCCAAGCAACCATGCTTTTGTATTTATATACTCTACTACAAACAGAGTGGAGCGGGCAGTAGTTGCTGTCTTTGAGTGGGGTTGGTCAGTGGGTTTGGCACAGCATTTACTCGTTTTTCCAGCAGCGCACATGCAGAGTGCGGTGAGAGCTGCGAAGAATAGGGGGAGTGTTAGTGGGATAACAAGAACTAAAAGCACTGAGTCATGCAAAGTGGCGAAACAAGACATTCAGTGATCTGAGTAACAAGAAGGGAACAGGTTCTCCGTCACCTTTCAGACTCCCGATCCACCACCTCTGTTGTAGTGTGATTTTTATTATAACAGCAAATCATTCATCAGATGTCACACATATTCTTCCACACGTCACTTTAATCTCACCAGCTGCCAGATGGCTACAGCGCCCCCTGGAGGCTTGTGTTTTCCACTCGGCTGCACGGGGAGAGCTTTACCAGGATGGTGGCCGGCCTGATGAAGCAGGGGCCCACCCTGCTGCTTATCAGAGACACCAAGGGGCAGGTCTTTGGGGGCTTCGCCTCCCACACCTGGGAGGTCAAACCTCAGTTTCAGGGTAAGTATGCCACAGACTAGTGCTCCCACTGCAAAAGAGCTGAAGTCCACCTGTTGTGCTCATTTTTATTCTTGCACTGTATTTGGGTAGCTTTGCATGATTCACAGCTCGAAATGATCCTTCTTTAAGTAGTATTGTCTGATGCAGCCGCTCAGGGAGAATTTAACAGTGTGGTGATTTGGGAGTTTCTGTAATCAGAATCATATAAAAGGACAGATGCATATATGGTTTGCCACGATGTCACTTCATTAATGTCATTTTTTTCTCCAAGCTTTCCTGTTTCCTCTAAAATGTAAAAAAGGCCACAAAGTGAATATTTTAATATTTTATTCTAACATTTAGCCAAGTGAAATAAATCATTCTGATTGTGGTCCTACAAGAAAGGACCGCACAAATCACAGTGACCTGTTTTTGAGAGCTGCTGGCACTGTCGTAAAACCAAGTAATACATCCAGATTTAAAAGAAAAATCAGTGAGTGTTTAACTTCGCGGGTTCGAGTCATACCTGTCTGTTGCACAGGCTTGAGTGGCCGAACAGGAAGTTACTTTTTTTTAAAGAAAACTAAAAGTTCTTTGATGCTGTGGTTTAGACACGATTCACATGAAACAAGCCACACATAAAAACTTTGTTTCTGGCTGAATTTCTTCATCTTTCTGAAGCCCCTGTTCTCTAGTCTAGAATAGAATATATTAGAATCGATACTTTATTGTCATTCAGAGCATACACCAGTTAGTGCATATTAAGCGTGATTTAGATATCTGTGGAAGATCTACATCGTGACTTAATAAGATGTAACCCCTCTTAGCCCACACCACAACTTTCCACACCATCCAGCCAGAAGGCATGATGTTGATTTCTCTGTCAAGTATGTTTCATTCATTAGAATTACGTTTCAGTGCACTGACTCACCTGATTTTGCAGGTCTTTGCTCCCCACTGCTGTCACACTCCACAACAAAGACTTCACAGCTGACCAAACACACGTGTGTTTGCCGTATGTGCAATAACACTAGGTGCAATTCTTTTTTAACAACGTTGTATTTTACTCAGTTGTATATAGTATTTTATTCTATTCTATTCTCTTGTGTACAGTATCTTATTC